AAATATAGTTGATGTGTATTTTGGAAATTTAACCAGTAGCAGTGTTGGAGTTTAAAAGTCATCATGCTCTTTGAAGGTATTTCTGTATTAGCATGTTAAACCTGTTTTGTTACCTGTTGCTATGTGTGCAAAAAACAAGCAGGCTGAGCCTGGAAGGGAAGCAAGTTGTGTATTTCAGAAACATTCTATCGTTCTTACATCGCTGTTTCAGTTACACAAGATGTTTTAAGTTTTGCATGCAAATTGCTTGTTTTCCACTCACATGAGCTGAGAGCAGAAAACTCCAGATTGCCCCTGCAGTTAAAACTTGTTCTGTAACTTGCTATTCTTGATTCCACTACCTGTTTGCTGACAATAAAAAGACAAGGCTTTGCACTCAGGACCTCAGAACTCGTGAGAACAGGCAGAAACAGCTCAGTGATCATGACTTCTACTTTTGCAAAAGTAACGTCAGAAAACTCATACCTTTGTCTCTGGTCCTCTTTATTTAAGGTTTATCATCTGATTAACCCTTTCAAGCAGCACTGATGCCTTTCAAACTACAGTGAGAAACGTTTTGTTTGCTACTCTCCTTTTTTTCTTTACTTTCTTTGTGCTGTCATTCTACTGAGTTTTTTCCCCTTCTTTTCAGTCAAAATGGAGTGTCTGTCATCTGTAAAGATTTTACAGAAGAAGACATTTCTGGTCCTCTTGGTCATCTGTACTGCCAGTTTTTTGCTGCACATGAACCACATCAACTGGTGAGTGACTGAAATACAYCCTCAAAATTGTCAATGTTCATTTTTAAACTTGACTTTACAAACATTTAGCAGACAATTAGCTTCTGCTAAAAAAAGTGTTTAGCCAATTTTCAGTTYGCTAACAGCTACCTGACAAACATCAACAGGTTTGTGTCAGTCCCACCAGTCTTCAGCTGGAGGGAGACGAAGATGTAACTCAAACTGAGTGACAGTCATCTTACCTGTTAGCATTACTGTTCAYTAAATTTTTACATGTTTAGTTAGTGGATTATGAATTAGCGAAGCTAACCTCTTGGTGCCCACCCCTTCCCCTTCTACACCTCAGTTTGTTTCACTACATGTTTATCATTTAAAAAATATTCAATTTAGAGAAATTATCATTACAGATGTTTTTTTCTGTTTGGGTTCTAACTCTTTACTTTGTCTCTGTTCTAAGGACCATGGAGGTCTTCCATAGAAGTCCAGCCTCTCACTCTCTGGCGCATAAGCATACCAACGTTGCTTTCCTCAAGACCCACAAGACAGCCAGCAGCACCCTGCAGAACATACTGTTTCGATTTGCAGAGCACAACAACTTGACGATGGCATTGCCTAGATCAAACTGTGCTCCCCTGTTCTGTTACCCAAA